GGATGGCTCGCCCGGTCGGTTGTTTGGGACACACCCTCGTCACGCCCCACCCTGTCCCCGCAGGTACGCGGGCCGGGAGCCGGCAGCCGCCCCCGCCACCGGCAATAAGAAAACGCACCTGACAGAGCTGCAGCGGCTCCTGGACACGGCCTTCAACCTCGATGCCTTCAAGGACCTGGCCTGAGCGCCGGCGCGGCGCAGCATGCTCCTCCGTCTGTCTGTCCGTCTGTCTGTCCTTGGCTTGCTCTGCCCTCAACTACAGACCTTGTCAACCCCACTCTGCTGCCTCGAGTCCTTGTGTGCCTCYGGGTGCAGGAGGGTCTGGGGGCTGCCCGCTGCCGTGGTGGGGACACCCAGGACCCCCCAGACTCCTGCAAGGACTGGGGCTGAACTCTGGGGGTGTCCCATAGCCCCCCAAGAGGGGCTGGTCCCCAGGGCTCTTCCATGGGGGTGTCCAGTGCAATGAGTCAGGTTCCTCCCAGTTCCTCCCAGTYCCGGATTTGCCCCYGTGCAGCCGCTGCCYCTCGGAGGAGGGAGATGCCCAGGCGGGTGTGACAGCGCTGTGCCCCGGTCTCATTTTGCTCCTCGGGGAGCACCTTGTCCCCGTGTCTGTGCCATCCTCCATCCCTGAGCCCCCGTGGGCACCGGTGCTGTTCTCTCGTGGGAGATCCCGAGTGGCGGTCGAGGGGGGAGATCTCCAGCTGGGGCTGCTCCGTGTTGGCATCTCCAGAGCCCTCCCGTGGGACGGTGGGGGACAAGGGGAGCAACCCCAGTTGGGGCTCGCTGTCGGTGTCCCCGGGACCCACCGCACACCTTCAGCCGCAGGGGACAGGTCGGGGGGTGGGGGGACACTCGCCACACCTCGGCGCACGCTCACGGTCGCGCTGTCACACACCGGTGTCACATCGTGTCACACCCGCCGGTCGCGCTGTCACACACCGGTGTCACATCGTGTCACACCCGCCGGTCGCGCTGTCACACACCGGTGTCACATCGTGTCACCCACCGTGCGCGGGCCCGGCGTCTCCGCGCGCAGCCTGTTCGCGCGCAGCCCGTTCCCGCGCGCACGTGCACGGCGCCGCGTGCGCGCGCGTCCCGCGGTCCCCTCCTCCCCCCCACACCCCCCCCGCCCCGACCCTTCCTCGGCGCTCGGCTACCCGCGCCTGGCGCGGCGGGGGCGGGGCCTGCATGC